TATATGTATATGTGTGTGTGTGTGTGTGTGTGTGTGTGGGGGTGTATATACAGTATATATATATATATATATATACACATACACATATAGACAAATTGTCAGCTTGACAAATCTTTTGGTGTGTGTGCACACATGTGTGTATTGATAATATATAAATTGCCAGGTTGCCAGGTTCCCTTGGGGAAAAAAAAATATATATATATATATATATTATTTTACCATACTGGTAAAACAAATGTATAGCCTGAATGCACTGTAAGTCGCTTTGGATAAAAGTTTCTGCTAAATGCATATATATATTATTTTTTCCCCAAGGGAACCTGGCAATGGATTATATTATATATTATCAATACACAGTGCACACACACACCAAAAAATGTTGTCAAGCTGACAATTTGTCTATCTATTGCTTTGTCTTGTACGCCCTCATGTGTTCATCTTTTTTACTGTGAATGCTGGAAAATGCAGATAGATTTTTAGAATGTAATTTTCAACGAACTAAACCACCATTTCGAATTATTTTATTTTATTTCATTGTATTATTTTATTTTATATAAAATAAATGATATATACAAAGTAAAAATTACATTTACAGTACACATTCAATAATACAATATTAACAATATCTACTAATTTAGAAAGAAATACACCATCCCAGAGTGATTCGGGACATAAAAGCATCAGCTTGTTCACTGGTATTTGAAATACTTTTATATATAGACAATAATAAAAGTCAGTCTCGTATTAATGAATTTTCAGTTAATACTCTCACTCCCCCAATTAACATGTAACAGAAGACAGTTCTACTGTTACTTCAAGGACAATTCACACTTTTATATTCCCAATCATGTCAGGGCAAAGAGTTTTGTATGCGAGCTGCTCTTTTAAATAATAAATAAGTTTCATGGAAATGGATTCCTGCAGTATTGCCACTGCACTTCCTTTTTCAGTGCGCAGATGGGGGAATTCCAAAAGATAAAACACTCGTCTTGCCTCTTGTGCTCACTATGAGAGACAAAAAGCATTTGTGTCCAGTGTTTCTAGTATAGTGCAAGATAGTGACCTCACGACGTTGCTCAGTACATGTCAAGCAAAAAGCTTTACATTTTGGTGATGTTGGGCATCTCGATGTCGATCACCTCAAAGCCCTGGTTATTGATGCCATCAATGGAGTGGTGATGGTGTCCCGCCTCGTTGTGGTAGCAGTAGGCGCAATGAGCGGTCGGTACGGGCACCACCTTGGCGAAGTTGGAAAAGTCCACGCGGTACTTTCCCTCTTTGCTGCGGGAGATGATCGGGAGGAAGTCGTAGCCCCACATGATCTCGTGAGGGATGTAGGAAGTCCTGACCTGGCAGGTAGAGCTGGTGGACTCAGCCGTTCCATCGAGAAACACCACGAGCTCAAACTCCTGCTGATGCAGAGTGTCCACCGCCATTTCAAAGAACGGGCTGGTTTTGTCGATGACGTGGTATAGTGTCAATGGACACACGAAAAACAGGTTGTCCTTGCCGGCGTCCACCATGAAGTCAATGCTGACCTGGTCCAAGATGATGGTTTCACCTTCCGGGGTGACTGTGGTCCTCAGGAGCTTGCCGTAAATCTGGCTACCGATCATCAAAGTCTTGCGCAGGTTGGCCACACGGATTTGAAGGCAAAGGGTGCCCTTTTTAGGGCAGATAACTGCAGAGTCGCTGAAGGTTATAGTCTTGGCTCTCTTCTTGGGAAGAGCGATTTTTGCCATAACCACGCCGCACCAGAAGCAGCTGATTATGGTGCCCATAAGACTCTGAATTATAATCAGAGCCACGGCTCCCGGACAGACATCGGTGATGTACACATTTCCATAACCAATGGTGCTTTGGGTCTCCAGCGAGAAGAGGAAGGCGTAAGTCAGGGTGTTGACGCTATAGACGCACGCCGTGTGATTTTCGGGTGGATTCTGCCACTTCAAGTCGCCGTGGTCTCTGGCGATCCAGTACCAGAGG